CTGTGTACACTAGCGAATAATAAAAAATAGCTTATTTTCAAAGCCTGACGTAATCGGCATCGTCATATTACGTTATTTAGCTTAAGTAGCCACAAGTATAATGAAAGTATTTTACAGTAACTTTGCGGTGTTTATCGTCTTGGCGTACTTTAATAACGTTATAAAAAAAATTCTACTACACCGAATTTATTGCAAAAGTGTCTTAGCCACAGCAGTGACAATTACGGATAACACCTAAATTTAGCAGGGATCAACTAGAATGATATAATTTTCAATAGAATGATTGGCAAACCTCTGCAGGCCAATTATTTTTGAATCCGTCTGCACCGACGGCGTATCGGTAAATCTTTATTTATTTGAATTTGCAGTCTGATGTAGATCTGAGGTCTGAATAAATAAATATTCAAACTCTAACGATGCGATAACAAAAATCGTACGTACGCATTAATTAAAGTTGATAACTGTTCGGTCGTTCTATCTGACGGCTTTAGTTGTAACGGCGATATCAGTCTTTGCAACAGTTTTACATATATATTGTTGCAGTATAATTTTTATTACCTTTCCATCCGCTAATGCAATGCCTTTTCAATTAAGCCTGTTTACTTAATGAATTCTATTCAAAAGATCGTTTATTTTCTTCATTATAATGATCGCTTACTGAAAAATAGGATCATCTATTCTTCATAACAAAATGATCGGGTAACGCGGACTGGGTCTACATGGACCGAAACTGAGAACAGTTCGATAACTAAGCTATCTTGATCTGTCCTTCTTAAAGGGGATCGTAACAACATACTAATATTCTTCAATAGCCGCATCTTTCAGCTAATAGACTACTCGTGGCTAGAAAATAGTTGTATTTCAAACTCAGCCAAAGAAGGGAAAACAGTATGGAGAAATCGATGAAATAGCCACGATTGGATCTGGGTTATCGTCTACAGTATAAAAGCTGGCGTCCTAGCAAAGACCCTGCTGGACCGAAACATCCATTTTATTGAACGTATGTCGCTGCTGGGGGGAAGCTATCAGCTGCCATTTTCACTGCGCGTCGTATCGACTGCTTGAAATACCGCTCCCAGTATGTTCTACGCCGTGGCGCTATTCAGACTGCAAGTTCGTCCCGGAGTCGGATACTTGTTTCACGATCTGATTGCCCGGCTTTGGACAGCATCAAATGATGATACTTTAACAGCACCGCTTATCGTTTTTTGTTGCTATGTCTGACCCTCGATCATTTCAAAATTGATATAACACTGTGAATAGCCGCAGGCATTATAGACCGCTTTCCCGTACTCATCAGATGTGCACTAAAAATACATCGCCGTAGCATTTTCTTATCGTAATTGCGTGGAATCATTGTAAAACATCTGCTACTACCGATTAGACGCTTTTTAAATTGGCCCATCCATCAGTCTCTGATCGTTTTCTTCCGTGCCCTTCTCCCCCAGGAAGTGCTACCCGACAACCGCCTTAAAACGCATTTTTCGTGTCTGTCATTTTGAAACCAACTGCTGTCTATGCTGTCTAATACGTTTGAATCGCGCGCGCGCGCGCACACACACACACACACATATACAAAAAACTAACCGTGATCGCGCATTCTTGAGCATTAACTTTTTGATAGAAAAGGAAGTTTCGAGCACCGATCCTTTCTTTCTTTCTTTCTTCGCATTATGTCGACGCAATTTAACGACACGGAAACGATACGGCGACGCAGGTTTCTACGACTAACCAATATGAAGAGGCGCAAATGCCTGCTCGCTGACATTGTTGCGACTTCCATATTGCCATTGCAATATTGCAGCCAAACCTATTTCTCCCTCTCCTTTCATTACGCGGCATGCACTCGCCCAAATGGTAGCACTTCAATCCTAGTCGACCCGATACGCTTAATTTAGTAGTTAGATCCTGCAACATTAAGTCAGACGGGTGTAAAACGGACCCGTTGGGTCGAGGCAGTTGTGTTTGCCCATACTGTGCATGGTATAATGTTCGGTTGTTTTGCTTATTTCTGTGCAGCAGCGATGTGCAGTGTACAACGGAATATTAAGTGGGAGTGATGGAGAACACGTAGCCGTCATTTTAAGGATCTCTATAACCAGCTGAACCAAGGCTTAAGTTAGTGAAATGACGACCGATCAAACAGAGCGAAGCATGCGGGACAACTTAACAGATAACAAAGACGAATAACTTTGCTACTAAATATAACGACAACTCGACCTCTCGTATCTAACGCCTGCTAACGTCTTAATCGGTGAAGTTCGACAAAAGCCTATGCCATGTCTTCAGTATTTTATACCGTAATTGATCACGTCGTCTACCCAATAAATCATGCATTGTTCTACGCCTTCAACGGAATCACTGAGCTTTTCTATCATGCGGGTCTCGGAGGTATGGGTCGTTACTATATTCCATTTATACACATGGCATTCTTATCTGTATTTGTTACTCGGCCGGAAATTCGAGATTACAACACCAAGCGGATTCCCATTGAGACCAATCACAAACTCTTGAGGGCGTCATATGACTTCATCATTGTAGGAGGCGGAATGGCCGGCTGTCTAGCGGCCAACCGGCTTTCACGGCATTATACGGTTCTTCTTATTCACGGACCAGGCGCACTGCCAAATATCCTAACGCGAGTTCCTCTTTTGAATGCATTGAATCAGGCCGAGCCTTCGCATGATTTCCGCTATGTGGCTGAACCTTCAGACATCAATCTACAATGGAAGACGCACGCCATTACCTATAACAGCGGCAAAACATTGGGAGGATCAGCAATTTTAAGCGCCCACGTGTATTCAATGGGCCGAAAGGCGGATTTCGACGAATGGATTCAAGTCTATGGAGCAACTGGTTTCGATTATGACACCTTAGGAAAGTATGCAAAGAGGCACACAAAAGCTCAGGGCACAGTGACGGGGCTTCCATTGTACGGAACTTCAGGCGAGCTACATGTCGATCACGCAGATACCCCAAATTACTACATGAAATATAAACAGTCATTTCTGAAAGCAGCTGCATATGTAACTGGCACACAGATCGTTCGCGATCATAATGAAGAGCTCCTGGGCTTTGGGAGTGCAACGCATGCCGTAGAGAAGCACACCGGGTTCATAAGTACTCCGGTCAGGGCATTTCTTGAGCCGATTGCCTATGACGAGGACCGTCGAAACAGGCTGCATATCATTCTTGAGTCAATGGTCGAACGAGTAGGTATAATTAAGAGGCATGACGGTAAGCTTGCCGCTCGAGGAGTCATAGTTAAAATGAAAAATAGAGCGAGGCGATACTTTTTCGCCCATAAAAAAGTCATTTTAGCGGCAGGTGCCGTTCGTACGCCACAAATACTCATGCTTTCTGGCATTGGACCTCTGGACGAACTCACCAAATGGAATCTTCCGCTTCTTCTGCACCGAGAAGGGGTCGGTCGAAATTTACACGACCATTATGACCTAGGTACAGCGCTAGTTGTGTTTCCAAAGGGCAAAGGCTTTGTAGATGTTGCCTTCAGTGATCTGGTGCAGTTTTTTCTAACTGGAACAGGTGCAATAAAAAACCCATACGCTGTTAATGCACTAGGATTTTTCCGAAGCAAGAACACCTCCTACTCAACATGTATTACTCAGGAGACGTGTCAACCCGATTTCGAAATTCTCGTTCATACATGTGCCCCCAACCATCCTGCGGGAGGTTCAACCCTACGCGCAGCTTACATTACGACGTCCGACTTGAACAAATACTTTATTAACCAGAATGGCGGAAGTCTTTTAACACCCAAGGAAGCGATTCTGTTCACGCCGACAATACTACACCCAGTTACCCGAGGGCGCATTAAGCTTCGTGATTTTGATATTGATTCTAACCCGCGAATCTTTTTGAACGTTCTTAGCAATGAGCGCGACCTTCAAATGGCCGCCGAGCTATATTTAACTGCTCGCAAAATTGGAATTCTCGCCTACGCTAAGCTTGGCGGTAAATGGATGGATGTGCGACAAGAAGGCTGTCACGGTCCTGAAGACTCGTTTAGGTACGCACGTTGCGCCGTTCAGCACTTTCTTAAGACGGCTTGGCATCTTGGCGGAACAGCTCGAATAGGTCAACCTCACGATCCGTTTGCAGTGGTAGATACCCATTTGAATGTAATCGGAGTCGACAATTTAGCAGTCATTGACGCCTCCGTAATACCAGCCCCTGTCAGCGGTCATATGCTCGCCACGATCGCATCGATAGCCGAGAAGTTCTGCGACGAAGTGCATAGAGGAATCGCATAGGGAACAATTACTGGTTTACATTTTCGTAAACGAAAAGAAAATACTACATCCGCTGACGAGATGCTGTTTAGGGGCTACTTCAGCAATCGATGGGAAATTGCTGCTTGAATAAAATGAAGTTCGATATGCTCAGAAAATACATCTCTCTCGAGCCAAACCCGTAACAAAGAAATCGCGGTTAACGAATCACCCGCACTCACTCCTCGCCTATACGGGTAAACTTGCCAAATTAACTAGTATTATTTATAAAACTATCTCTATCCTTTATTGATTAATTCCAACGCTTAGCAACGTAGTTCTAAATAACTTCAGTTGCCCTGCTGCTTTAATTCGTTGCCTCATCCAAGCCAAGCACCTATTAAACAGATCGATCAATGATCAGGCATTTGCGACGTCGAATTTATACCAGCATTGTTACAGGGTCCTCAGTCAGGATGCCTACCCGCCATAAGTTAATAGTGTGACGTTCGACAAAAGCTGAAGATGTTTTTTTCTTCTGATCGGCCCTATATTCTAAATTGAATTACTCGTTGCCTTGGTAGTTCAATTTAGTTAAATATAACTAAATACGGTTGAATTTTGCAAGCTGTTATACCTGCCTGTAACTGTTTGTGGTAAAACGCGTTACAAATTATTTGTTCGTCTCCCTGACCCCTCGCTAGAAGTACAAGTCTAGACTGTATGGCTCCTTCATGTTCATATCAGAAGAATTTATGTTGGCTTCAGAAGCTTCAGTAGCGCCAGCTACTGAAGCCAACATAAATTAAATTTTAATCGCATTGATATGATAGTAATGTTTCTACTAAATTAAGAGCAGGTAGTTTTGTCAGGCACGAGCTCATATTCAAGAAATGTCTTCATTACCAAGAAAAATTGATTATCTGATCACGCCACAGTTCTGCTAAGACGCAAATACATCTGTGATATTGTTGTATTTGTTATAAATTTGTTTTATTGTTGCTTCAGATATCGGATTAGTGCTACACACGAAAATGGAAGGTAATTTTATTAATATTTATTGCATCGAAACAATATTCCAAAGATCACATGTTATCCAGTATTCTTCTTTGATAAGAAACATCGATCGGCGTCAGAAACCGGCTGAGACAGTGGTAATTGTAACTGTAGGTCGAGCGAGACGAATAATTGTAGACTAATTTAATAGAGCTAATAAACATAAATTAATTGTAATAAAAAAAAAGTCGGCCTTTTCATTCGTGCGTTTGTGCTAACGCAAGGGTCGATCGTATATAGCTGTCAACTGAATACCGATAAACCAATACATACGATCAACAGTTGGAAGATCGACTGACTTATACTTCTTCTCAAGCCCAAACAATTCATATCGCATTGTATCTAACGTCTTTAAACGCGCACCGCATTACCGGTTACGCCCTTGGCACGGAGTATAGCGTAGGAGTACGAAGGCTCACTTCTTTTGTTCAACATTGCAACGATCTTTGCTATTCGTTAAGTGAAATTTATCGGCTATATACTATGTATTTGCACGCGCTTTCTTCTTATCTTGTGCTGCAGTAACGGAGTTCGATTGTACATACATAAACTGCTCGCAAATAACACAACGTAAACATTCCGAAATCTGTAAATTGTCGGTCTATTCGCTCGCATGAAGAGAAAACACGGCCACGTTTTCCCCACTACCTCTAACCGTTGCTTATCGGAAAGGACAATGTCACGCAGACACGTTCATTGTCCTGAACAATGTTCGGACGGAAAATTGCAGTTCTGAAAAGAAGTTGCTGCCATTCTGCCAGAACACGCTATCCAGGCCTCGTAAGGTTACGAGACGTTTTCATATCTATAGAACACAATATCAAGGGAAACGTTTGTTCTAACGGAAGGGCAGCACAACCCCAAGCGAATCATGCCGGTAACAATATAGGTTCTATCCGTAAAATAAGTTCAACACAATTTAGATATTGACTTAACCTGCAGTCTTTCCCAAAAGTGGGTTTTTGATCGAAGTAAATACTTCAGAGCAACTAACTACTCGATTACCTTAAACCTAAACCGGGAACCAGATAACGGATGAACTAGAAGAAAAAAAAAGTCGTCAGTTCTCACAGGTCCTATAATAGTAAATGCTATACTCGGCGCGGACAAAGCAATCTACGCCTCGACATTTTGTGATCTCTTCTTCCGGAAACTGTGTATGGACACATGAGTTTAAGCTCCGACATTGAATTGACTTCGATAGCGTGGAGCTCACAAAAAGTTTGCCATCGAATGAGATGGAACCCGCATTCATTAACGGTGCAGTCAATTGTATTTAATGCGGTCAGTGGCGGCTAGTAGTCCGCCGTTTGTGCCGGTGGAGTAATCATCGGTTAGCGCCAAATGGCGCCATTGATTGAACGGTGCTTTGCAGTACTACTCACTTCATAGATCGTAAATATCTACTGTAAATACTCCGTAAAAGAAATCAGAAAATATTTATGTTGAACTGCACAGATGGACGAACCTGTGGCAACGCTACAATGAAATCCATCGATCGTGTAAGATAAAAATTCACTTCATAACTCTCAAAGCTGGAGCAATTTTTATGTCCGAGTCCATATCGCTCGCTACCTTCGCTTATTTTCGCCGCGTTATATCGTCTGCAGCTTGAAGTAGTTTTCGATATATACACCCAATTATATGCTAGACACCGGTCAGTTTTCACTCTTCCATCATTGCTCTTTAGAGTTTCAATTTACTATTCCTGGACGCACGCTTAGTTGGCAGACCTCGCTCATAACTGAGAAATCACAACTTATATTGCAACGTTGCGACGCAATGTCAAGATTTCGACACACAGCAGTAGACCTAAAGTCACCTATCTTCAAATAGGTCTGCTCGGTTCCAGTAAACAAGTCTGTCCCACTTCCTATATTCTGGTTTAATGTGTTCAGAATGGTAGCTCTATCGTCAAACTATTACGCTATATTGTGCGGTTCAATCATATCTCTAGTAATCTAAAAGGGTTTTAACTTTCGGAAATATTCTGGGCGGAATTAAATATCCGACATTTCGTTCACTGCAATTTTGATCCATTAGGTACCTTAGTTTACCTGAAATAAAGCCTAGCTAAAGCAGCGCGCGCCAAGATCGAAACGTTTCTTAGTAGTTCTTACTAATCAACGCTTTTATTTGCTTTTTCGATAAAAATCATTTCAATTAAGCCAAAAATGATCCAGACGCGTTTACAGGAAAACCCCTCGTATGTTTATAGCTGCTGAGATTAAGTACTACTTCAAAAATATAATAAATATAAAGTTTGCTTTTATTTTGTTAAGATATTGAAATGATTGTGAAAGCATTGGCCATTTATCGTAATTTAGCGTTTATATATATAATTTATATATATAATATAGTAGAGATTTCACTCGCAAGCTATAGTAAATGACTTGGCATACTGCGGAACATGCCCGACAGTGGCACTAATTAAACAGTCATTATCTTTTAATTAGACAGAACGCCTATGGTATTGCAAAGTACAGGTATCTAATTTTCGCAAGCTTTCATTTTTTCTTCGTCTTCTTATTGAGTCAATCCGATTAACGTCGCAGTCTCGTCAAAATGGCAGTTAGTCATGCTATCACGTGATAGACAGGTGTTCCCTCCTCTGCACGTGTTGAGCCAGCAGCTGCTGCACCTATAGTCTCTTGATTATGGAAAAGATTTTCACACGGTTATAGTAACTATCCCAGCAGTCGCAAAGGCAACGCGAGTAACTACAACAAACGACAAACAAAGAAGCTAGATTCTTCAGAGTACTAGCATCCGAACGCAGTTGGTCCTTGTTTTTCTCCTTCAATTCTGAATTGTGCCCCCATAAAGATGGTTAGTGGCCGCTATCAAAGCAGTTTCCCACAATAGAAAGGAAGGATGTTGCAAAACAGAGAATTAGAACGTGGGGCAAATAGTGTTTGTATTGCGGATGCTAGTCAATCTATTGATCGAGTCTATAACATACAGAGTAGGCCAGAAGCTAGCGGACAGTCTGAACAATGTCTCTTGACGCTTAGAGAGTCTTCGTTTATAAAAAAAAATAGCAGAGACGCAAACTATTACGGTAACGAACAGATTAAATTATGCGGTACATTTGTAACAGGGGCATCCTAATACCATTAATATATTCCTATAATGCTATATTATTGGTACAGCGCATCAGGTATTGTATCAGTGGGGGCGCACAATCAAACCCGTTCCACACTGCAACAATATATGCATCCCCCACTACCTTAGAAGATGCAGACTATACAACTCAATTTTTAAGAGATCTTTTTCAAACTCCCTAGTAACTTTTAGCCCGCCCTGTGTGTACAGTATACAATAGGATATTAGGCGTCAAACAAATCCACAATATGCAGGCGAACAAATCACTATCAGCACTGAAATTGCTGATGATTCAGCACTGAAATGAATACGCGCCTAGATAATTAACGGATATATTTTTCATTGGATATATCCTCAACTGAATTTCCCCTTTAAAATGGCCGCCACGAAAGAATCGGTCTATTTTTCTTATTAGTTAAGCTATGGCGGTAAATGAAATCTGTGCTATGATGAATCCCATGGCTTACTCCTCGAATTATAAACTCTTCTTTGCTTTGATTTTTTTATCAAATGGGTGTGGGAGCCAGGGGCGATTTAGTTTAAACATGAGTCATTTCTATCAGTTCTTGTTTTGCGGATAGAAATTCAAAATTACAACACCACAAATACATTGTTGAGCTTTTTATGACTTTATTTCTGTTAGAGGCGGCATGGCTGATTGTATTACAAATGTCATACGTTTCCTCTAGTCCAAGACCGTGCGATGTGAAATGTCCTGTTAGAGCTCTGAATTAGATCGAGCCTTCACATTACTTATGCTACACTGCTGCATCTTCATATCTTTAATACAATATCCATACAGTTATTTACTACAATGAAAAAAAACACTAGGGAGTTCAGCATTTATAGGCATTCAAATATATTCATAGAAATTTCAACAAGTGGGTGTTAGACTATGAGGTAATTGATTAAAAAGAGTTTCCATGATTGCCAACTTCAATTATTATTATTATTATTATTGAGAGAGGGATTATTGAGAGAGGGAATCTCACATTATCGGTAGAGTACAAGCATTATTAGATACGCAGCCTATAGACAATCATACCGAAGAGTTTCCAGACTTTAGGACAAAAGATACATATTTTGAAGAAGCCCACTGCATTGTTGTGAGGACATTCCTTGTGTGTATTGTCAATGATAAGGACCGTCGCCCGTAGCGTGCTGTACATTACTGTTGATTTTATCGTCAAACAAGAAGGTATTTTTAAGAGGTATGACGGCAGGCTCGGTGCCCAAGGAAGAGCTGACCCCGTACGTACACGATAAATACTCACAATCATAGATGACATATTCTGATTTTCCTACAACCGGAAACGATGATCTAGGTACAGCAATGGCCGTGTTCGACAAAAACAGAGGCTGAGGTAAAACCGCAATAGTGTAAATTGAGTACAATTCTTCTCTAGAAAAAAACGTTCGTGCTTTCTAATCGTCCCGACCATCTCGAAGCAAACGCGACTTTGCCTCTAGCTCATGTTCGTGGGTCGAACTTGAGGAGATATTATACCAATCTGAATGAAAAAAGATCTTTAATCGAGCCAATGCAGAAGCTTTGGCGCCCCCAGCCATTATACGAAGACGCATCAAAGCTGTTCCGGGCTCGATGACTCTTTCAAGTATACGCGTTAGCCTGTACAACGTTTCTTTAAAATGTTTTGGGATCTTGGCGCAGCAACTTAAAGAGGTTAGCGTTACCATTCATAGGCAGTGATCAACTTCATATGAACGTGATCGGAACGGAGAATTCGTCAGTAACCGATGTTTCTATAGTACGATAGCTGAGAATTGTTTTGACAAAATACTTTCAAGGACTACGTAGGATAGATTTATTGTAGTAAACGAAAGTGGGCTGAGATGGGGGTAGGTTTGGGTTAAGACATTGCAAATACCCTCTCCAAAACTTGATACTGGACAAACCGCGGCTGAGCTGTCGTATGCGCGCAAAAAATTATGTTGTGCCACAGGGTAAGATCGAGTTGGATCACCGGCTTATCTTCAAGTTCATACCATCGTTTTTTTTCCTATTCGACGACTTTTCTCTTCATTTTAATTTATTTATCATCCCTTCATATACCTTCATCTGAATGTATAATCAATATCAGCATGAGCACATATTCTTCTGGTTTGCATTGCTATGTGTATTTTAACTCATGTAGTTAGTATATTTTTACAATTAAGATATAGCATTAAGACATTTAGGTGAGGTGAGTTGAGATACTTGTGGCTTTAAGTGGAGCAAAGTTATTGAGCCCGTTTGATGCCCGTAATAGTCACTAGCCTAACACTACAGTTCTTCTAATAACGTAGCTATAATATTCTGTTTAGTAATCTAAATAATATATTGAGTGTATATATACAAGAAAAAATATATTGAGTATATAAAAAAAAATACGAAACGTATTTGTCTTTGTCTAGATTCGATTCGCGAACTTCCCTTTTACGACTAGGGAATAGCGCTACGGTGGTGCCTTATATCTGCCGCCAACATGTCTTAATACACTTCAACTTCTTTTTCTACTTTGTTAACATGTTTATAGCATAATAGGCTCGAAGGCGCCGCCATAACCGACATCGAGTTTTATTAAACGAGCTCATTTATCCGCGTAATTTTCTGAATCGATGTCCAGATTTAGAATACAAACAGTTCACTGGCACAGGGGACAGAGAAGCCGTCACACGTTTACTATAGGAAAATTAATACAGACTGGTTCAATATTCCGCTGAGAAAATAACACTACGATCCTTTTCGTCGTTCAAATCTGACATTCGAGGAAATGTTCCTCAGACGATCGCAGCAGCGCCGAGTATAAACAGTCTGAATTCTTCGTACTTTGTCTTTGCTGAGAAGCTCAACGAGTTGAAAAATCCGTAACCTGTTGTACACTGTAAAAATGAAGTATACGTTTTAATCGTTTGTCTTTAAAAAATGAAACCAGTATGAACATCTATGTTTTAATGTTTTACCACTCATATTACAATGTTTCTTGACGTTTTTTTGTAGGCAAAAGACCGAACTCAAGGCTAGATATGGAGCCTCTGCAGCCATTACTGTACAATACAAAGCACGCAAGTCAATAAAAAAAAATGCCTCGATGTGGGCAATTGATAAAATCACTTTAAGCCGGTGCTTAACTGGACCAATATGGAGCTCTACTTGTAAGGACGCGGGTTTTGTCACCAGCAGAAGAAACCTTACAGCAGAAGAAGAAGTACTTAATCACGTGTGGCAAGGTAAACTACGGCCAGCGAAGATCACAGTGTGCCTCGCTTGCGCGCGTATCACTACGTAATACCAAAAAATTAAACAGGAAACGCCTCAACCGAAAACGGTCTGTTCCGCGGGTACCTCAAAAAGGATTTAGAGCTGTGCGTAGAAGTACCAGAGCCCACGAGCTTTTCAAGCGGTGTATATATACGTATATGTATATAAAATGGGTTAAAAAGGAATAAAGAAAACCGACGCTTTTGGCGAGAAATTACCACGTAGTTGGTTTGTCGCTGGGGCATACATGCGTCAGCAGGAAATTTGCACACCAATTATTAACACCCGATGATTTAACAGTCATCATTATACTTAAAATTCAGAATCAGTAAGCACAATATAAGATGAAATTCGTTGATCAGGATAAGCCAGCAACGGACTGATAATCTCGCGTAACTCGGCAACGTTTTGTGTTTCGTCGGCATCCGCTGCCTCTTGTTTCAGTTGTCGTAATCTTCCAGACTGTTGAGTTACGGTTTCAGACAACGCGCTTACCACCGGATGGCCTTGTTGCAACACCGATACCGTGAAGAGAGAAGCGGAGCGTCGTAGCGTGTTTTTAGATAACGTGTATACAGAACGACATACGTCGAATTCATCCAGACATATTTATAGACGTTTTGCTTGACTCGATAGTCTCGTATAGGTTTGCAAATAGAGATTGTTCTTTTTCTATTTTCTTCGAGGATTAGCGGACATCGATAGCTTTCCGTTTCTTCTATTTATTTTCTCGTCTATCTCCAAGTGTATATTACGGACTCTCCTGGGTATGTCAACACCCTCATACGACGGCTCTTACCATTGATGTAGATACCAGTTGGCGGGCCGACGAGCGTTTCAGCGTTTGCGGTCCTCGTAGACGTCTCTGACATGTCTGAAACGAGACCAAACAGGTACTGTCTTAGTAGAAATTCAAGGACGACGTATTGCTTCTTCGCCCAGAGTGTTTTCCCCTTTCGAACTTCAGTGTAGCCCATAGAAGGATTTATCAATTTTCTTCCAGTCCGACCTAACCGGCATCCCTCTTCTTAACCTTCTTGTTTGTTGTGGAGCAGCTACCTGGTTGCATCGTTTCGTATCTTTGTCGAGTGTAAATAACCGTGCATCGCACAACCCATCAATGGAAAGAAAAATAACACAGGAGATATATGTCCTAAAGTATTTCAATGCAGTATAAAGCCTCTGACTGAATCAGCTGTCTACCCAGAGAGAACATAACATTGAAATCTATTTTTTTGTTTTTATTTACGAAGAATAGTGCAAATTTACTCAGATATGCAAATTATTCTTTAGAACAATATTTGAGTAAGTACGTAATTATTTGTTTACAAGTAAATGAAAGCACGTCAACTTGAGCGTCTCCGCAATTTCAAAATAATTATAATAAAGTAATAAGTATAGTTCCGTTGATAAAGTAATCAATAAGGTAGCGGTCTCGGGTTGCACCCATTTCTGTTGCGTTAGCCAATTATGATCCAGCCGCTCACGTCTTTTCTCTTCAATGTATGGCAAGAAAATAATATATATATATATATATGCATGTGGCTTTACTGGCTTATCTGGATTTTAATAATTCGTACTAATTGCCGGATTGTTTTTACATGACTAATAACTATCGTTTTTTTTTTTTGAAGGATTCAGTAGACGAGGCAATTTTGTTGCCTTCTAAATGTATGTATAACGTTAACGACCTGCGCCATTTCCTGTAGTGCCAGTCTCAAATATGTTACGGGTAGGTAGTGTAATGATGGCCATGATGATCAGGCGGATGGTCAGAACCGAGACTTCATGGTTCGAGCATCAGATTTATTGATATTTTGCACTAGTGACAGATAATGTAACACTTCTTCACTCTACCACACGCAAACGACACACCAATTATTGATCCTATCATATTTGTCGAAGGCGAAAACTTGTTAAGCTTGCAAGTGTTAATACCAAATACTTAGTTTTCGCTTGGTCGTACATGGAGCCGCATTGTTCACATACTGATACTGAACGTAGAAGCTTAAAGTGCAAGAAGACAATTCTTCTTCAGAGGAATTCGACTCTTAAGCAGGAACCGTAATTTATTGCATTAAGCACAAAGTATACATCTTTTACCGACTGGGAAAAAGCAAAAACAAATGACAAGTAAGCTGCCACACATTAACACACCGAATCACAATTGTAAACAACATCATTTAGCTAGTTTTACATGTCCGCAAATAAACACCATTGCAACGTTTGCCCTACAGAAGCAAATTGCCGTATGCAGCTGCTCATTCCGTGCACTGAAAGAAGACAGTATAGTTGGCACGTGCTACAAATACATTCACCTATACGCTGAACTCATCGGCAAATTCTTCTTTCTCATCATAACTTCCATAGTCCCTAAGGGCGAAAACAATAACCTTCTTTAAGAAGTTACACGATGTTTCCACAACGAGACTTCAGAAATGCGACGACCAAACTCAGCTGAAACGCAGATCGCAAGGGAGCCGGCTTTTTCCGAATAGACACGATCCTTTTTTTACTGAGGCTCCATCCATTTGAAACGAAAGTATTATCTATCGAAAACAAGCACAAAAGGCACCTCTTTGGGACATTTTCAGGACACCATATAAAAGCTCTAGCATGGTTATAATGCGTTTGGCTGGTTATGATGTCACCCTCTGAGACAGCTAAGTAGCATTTCGAGTAACGTATGTGCTTGCTAAGACACATTGTGGTCTAGGTTTGAACTCGGGCATAGATAGACGGATTTCGTTTTGTGCACGGAGACAGCCGTCTGACGGAATGTATAACTCTAATACCGAACGTAAAACTCGAAAGATGGAGGTGAAACGACTGATCCCGTCGTCGTCGTCGTTGTAGAAAAACTGTCTATTTTTTAAAATGAGATAATTTTGCTCTTATACATAGTGATATGGGGATCGTCCTATCTAACTTGTATCTAAATCAGATTTGTTATGCAGATCTGGAAACATGAGCCTTGAAAACGGCTTATTTGTGTGCGTTTGATGGGAAACTCGCTAACACCAAACCTCGCAAGACCGACAAGGTCGCTGTAAAGAAAATAAGGGGAAATGAATTGCAATTAGAAAGTTGCGCAGTGTGGCTTGTGCTCAGTATGCACACAAACGCCGGACGACGTACGTGGTATTTAGTTCGTATTTAGAGGAGATGGCGTAATAGTGTCGCTATAACCTAGGGTTGAGGAATTACTCGTAAATCATGCAACTTCAATGCATACGCCTAGAGTTCAGAAGAAAGCAATTTGAAGTGCGGCCGTGCCTCAGAGCGTGTGTAAAACCGTTTCTTCGAGGAATTTATCTTGAACCGTATATGCAACCTTCCGTGTAATGAATATTACTCCTTTATCCAACAAATGCGTATTCAAACGTAACTACCTCCGGACTAGTTGCCGAACATAAATCAGATTGTTCTTCTTTCTTTTTTTTGTTTCGAAATATTTATTTTTAACATACAGAATGAAAAATTGTCATCATATATTTATTACCAATAAATAGTTATCCGCGATACGCAAGTCAAGACCGCAAGTACGAATTTAGTCTCGGCCCGTCAAGTCCTTCACCTGGACGATACGGGATTCTTTTCCCTTGTAGGATCTGGGTAACAGTGATGGTTCGGATGATCACTGTCAACTAATTCAAGCTCCGATCGACTTGTTTAACCTAGGCTGAAGAGTGGTGCGCTACGACTAGAGCATATATTTTTGAATACACATATCGTTTCCGTGGACAATAAGGGTCTCATGTTAGCTGTAGGCGGCAGGTACCTATGTTTAAATCTTCGTTAGGGTTGCTCTTGATCTAATTCGAAATCCAAGCGCCAAGCTGGGCCACTGAGATATTTTTTCCGTCATATGGTGACTTCCAGTCGGATGTAATACTTTTCTAGCTGAGAAAACGCTCCGTATGTTATCGCCATCGCCTGTATAGTTAGAGCAATTTAGGATTTCAGAATCCTCGTTCCGATTACAATCTACTGTTTCTTCTCATTACTACACGCTTACCGGTTTATATTTGTCTTACAAGGAACTAATACGAAGATAACTACGGAATCTGCTCTTTTTTTGTACATACGCTCCACCTAACAATTCTCATTAGATCTAGTTCACGGCTAACTAACTCCTTCTGAGTTTTGAACATTTTCTTCTTCAAAGTTCGATATAGGTACTTTGTTAAGAGTTCATTTTTCTCTAGATTTTTCGACTATTTTTCACTAAAAATGCGTTTTATTTCTTGCGTACGGATACGTAGTAGAAGTAGAGCCTTAGATATACAAAAAGTAGTCGATATGCGACATCGTTGTAGTAATTAGAGCGATGCTATTGTAATCGAAATTAGTGGGTCAGTGACAAGAACTTCTCGAACCAAAACTTAAGAAAACATTGTTGAAAGTTAAGGAACTACGTTTCATATTGTAAATTTACTCTTGAACCGTGCAAGGGATACTTAAAAAATGTATTCTGTTTTCGTTTCCCGATTCAGTTCCCGGGACATTTTGGTAAAACCATTTTAGTAATTAACAATCTAAGTGCTCCAACAGTTGGCTAAAAGCACAGCAAACGCGCGCACGTCTACGCATGGAGATTTCCTATTTAGGTCCTCTGAATTTTCCCGGATCCCTAGAGATATGCATGTGGTCTGGCATTGTCGCAATGGAGAACGAGGCCTTGTCTTTAACGACGGTTAACCTTTGTAACCCTGTTCATAGAAAAGGTCTGAATTGATTGTTTTGTCAGATGAGCACAAGTCGGTTCCTTTTTAATCCCACCGCATACGTAGCATCAGCTTGGGCTTGCCACATACTGTGAAACACATTATATTATATCTTTTATTTGCACACTATTATAGTATGGAGCTTCAGAAATAACTCTTGTGTGTGATTCACTGACATCAGGAGGAACATTTTTCAGAGCGAAACTTCCAGAACGAAAGCAAGAAAGCCATCGTCAGGCCGTTCCTTCCGACAACGCATTTTGATCATAAACAGCATATTTTTATGGGCCTGGGCAGCATTTATGGCTTTATCGTAATAAAACATCGAATAAATGAACTTTTGCCGATATTTCACTCACCTCCATAATGCTTACCCTTGAGTCCGATTTAAGACACTTCAACAATTTTATGACATTTCTACTTCTAGCTTTCAAACGACACAAAAGCTAACGCTTCTCGTCATACCTGAAGTATGTGACCTCAAAGCCATCTAGCTAGAAAAACAATCAGTACTTGTTCTGCTGTATTTTTTTGATATTAAGCTTAAAAATGGCCGCTCATTTTATCTGATACTATTTCATCTAAAACAGACTTCACCAATTTTGATTTTATTTTGCTAATTAATAATTAACTTCAGCAATTTGTTTTTAATTGAGTTCAGCTAAGCTTTATTGCAATACTAATGCAACAAGTATGATTAATCGTGCAATTGTATAGTTTGCGATACGTCCTCAGTACTTACTTACCGAGGCGTTTTCCCAATTAAATACTCATATACAAAAAAGATTTGAATTACAAATTAATATAAATTTATAGCTATTTATTGTTATTCTTTAGTCTGCAGATGCATACTCAGAACGTAACGTTCATTGTTAAACAAAAAAGAAGAGAAACAACGCACCTCGGAGGACGTTACACTCAAATGAAAAAATTACCGGCCATTCGAAACAATAGCCAAAGTCTAACACTTGTTAGAGTGTATTTCGTAAATTGCACTTCCTTTGAAAATAGGCTTCATTGTCAAAGTATGTAGATTTTATAGCAAGGTTGAAAGCCGTTTGTACAAAGTTTTACATTTGGGACCATCGACCTTTGAATCATCTCCTACAGCATTAAGGGTACTTTTTACAACAATGAAACATTTTGCGCAATGGGAACTGCTCTCACCCCCCATATCCAATATATTATGTTCTATATACGTACTTACATAATTCGAAATGTAGCCTTTATCCGATTATTCCCCAGAAAATATGTTCGCCAGTCAAGCTTTATATATAAAAAAAATCCAAGCGAAATAAACAATATCTTCTATTTATCCAAGACATTGGATGCAACAAATAAAATGCCACATAAAACAGATTCGTTCATGGCATTTACAAATGACAGGTATTATTAAGAATATAATTGCTTTGTTACCACTTACTTGTCGAGTTGTTCTCCTTATTATATCTGTCCGAGCAGACTTCAGGATCAAAGTACGTGCCGTTGTGATTACTATTCTTGTTGTTGCGTGTCAGTGACGCCTCATCGTACGCTTGTTGGTAATACAAATGGTGATAATATTGTTGAGGATGATGATGATGTTGTTGATAAGCGCTGCGGTTCCCGTCGCCGTTTTTGTCGTCGGCAAACGAAATATGCTGTCGTTGCTGCTGGTGATGATGATCTCGGTAGCTATCATGAGTGGCGCCACCTGCACTCCTGTACGATGACGTCAATCCGCCATAGTTTCTTCTATGACAGCTGTTTATCCCGTAGTTGGAGTGGTAATATCTATTATCGTGATGCCTGCCGCTGCTGTTGTGATCGTGTAAGTAACAATTCAGCTGTTGGCCTTTACTCGTTTCGTCTCGCTCGCCGTTCGTAACTGTACTAGTCGTACTTGTGTGGCTCCTACTGTCACTATTTGCAGAAGGTCCACTGTTGGAGGCACCAGCGGCGGCAGCAGCAGCAGCAGCAGCAGCAGCAGCGGCGGAAGCGGCACCAGACGACTGTTGGTCCTTGACAAAGCCATCGGTCACGTCATTATTCACGTGCTTCCGGTCGCCGCTGTTGTCGTCAGCTCCGTCTTCGCGATCTTCTCGAAATTCGTAGTTTTCGCTCTCCGCTCTCTCGTTCACGCCGAAGTCGCCAGGTGATCGACGACAGCAGCGGTCATTTCCGTAATAGCTATTCGTTTGGTCGGAATAGTTTCCATTGAATTCGCTCTGATGCTGCGACTGCTGATGGTGATAGCCAGTCGAACAATAACCGAAACTGGTTTTCCCTCGATTGTTTTTGTTATACGTCTGCGGCCGGTCACTGGTAACGTTGTAGTAATGGAAGCGGTCCCGATACTGATGGTATGTCCTATCACCACTGCTGTAACTAGTGCGGTTGTTGTTACAGCTGCTGCCACTGCGCTCTCCGCTACAGTCTTCATTGGTTCGACCACTATTGTTGCTGTTGTTGTTAACACTGTTCATGTAGTTGCCAATGCTATTCTCGTAACTGGAGGTGCCGCCATTTTGTCGGTTCTGCCTGCGTTCGCCGTGACAGGTAAACGCCACATTTACTGACGCTCTTTTGCCAGCTGCATTTGGAGCATCGTTTGGTTCGTTGCTCACATCAGCACAAACAGCTCGACCGTTGGCATCGTCACCCCCGCATCTCCTATTTCCGTAATCCGTCGTAAGAAATTTCTGATAATTATTTCCGGACCGATTACCGTTATTGGAGTTGTAGTAGTGCGGCACCGAAGAATTCGTATAGGTATTACTGTAACCGCCATTTGTATTAGAGCTGCTGCTATTTTTGTTGTTGTTGCCGCTGCTCTCGTGGAATAACGGACGCGATTTTCTACATGTGGTCGACCTCGAATGACGACGCTCTTCATCGTCATCCTCGCGAAGTGCCCCGTCCTCTGAAGCGGCCGTGGAGATGACATCAAAGACGTCAGCTAAAAACGCGACAAGGAAAGACAATGGATCAAAACGACAAATTAACGCAATATTTTTTTTTTCACTACAGTCATACGCTTCACTCTGCATCTAATGCTGTGTATATATACATAGACATATGCGCATGTACTCATTCGTAAAATCTATATGGAGCCAGAATGTGACTATATCTATAGTCCTACGTATTATTGATGGTGCTTCCGATAACGCAGGACGCCAGAATCGATGTCATAAACGGCATAATCCTTCTGTAGAAAAAGACCAACGTCTACCTTTGTTATAAATAGCAAACAGCAACATTATTTGCTAGAACCGTCAGCTGACTGTCTGGAACCCATTTAACTTTATTTTGAACAACCCGACTTCTGTCATTCCTGCGGTAGCAGAATATATTGAAACGGATTTTATAAACTGGCCCCTTTACATGCATATGCTGTCCTTTTAGCCAGCTTCTGGAGTGCTTATATTGCGAGCTCAGTGAATGTTGCCAAATGGCGTAAACGATTGAAGTAAATATCGCGAAAAAAACTAACGTTTAACACGAAACCAGACCGTGTGTCTGTGTTCCCGTCAGCTATGACGCCTGAGCTAGAAGTCTTATTCATCTAGGCGGTAAACTAGTACGAAGTATACTTAACGGCAGTACTGGCTAACTACCTTCTATTTGGTGTTCTGTGCTCTAGTTATTGACACAAAGGCGGCAAGGTAAAGGCTCGACCGGCGATCTCGAGGGTTAATAAGGACAAAAGCTTCAAACAGGCACACCATCTATCAACTGGTTGGCTATCCGATTTTTTTTGAAGTAGCTACACGTCATAATGATTAACAGAGTCGTATGTTTGCACGTCTCGTTCGGCGATCGCCCGAAGTAGCCTCATTAACAAATTCCGCTGTTACGAACAATTAATTAAACATGAACGCTTACTTCATGACATATAGATAACCTAACAATTAATAATACGAATTACTTTTTTCTTGAAATAGGCACATCGGCTTGTCACAGAAAGGACTCAAAAAGAAGGTCATTAGAGGCGCCTCGGTTCAGGTATCAGCGGGCACAATATTGTAAATGGTCCAGTAGAAGCGCTCGCATTACGAATGTACTTTAAGGCTAACAACGAAATACCGCCAAACATAAAATGGAACAGGATATGAAAGAGACGGCTACCTGACCTGATACATCTTTCAAGAGCCGATGATTAGGTGCTTGATAGCAAAAGCGCATGCATTAGGTCTGGCCGAAAAAACGTCCAGCTGTAAGAATAAGAGCCTAACATATTACCTAGATAGCGCACCTATTATTTACATTGATCGTGAGTTTATAGATCACTCTCGCTTCTATTGTGTGTGTTTGCTCATCAACATACTCTTACAAATGTTTTTATTTCGCCATGTACGGTGCCGATTAGATTGTAATAATATCTGCCGTATAATATATATATCTCGTGTCCACCATTCCGACCTGATCTGTTAACGATATCGTTGATTATGTCGATAGGTGATATGCCCATTTCATAAACAGCATAAGCTACTGGAGTAGCGCGACACTGCCCCAAATGATGACACACTTGTCTACTTGTACAAGCATATAAATTATTGGATGAGCCGCGCGCCGTGCGTTGCTCACACTCTGTACAGCCGTTTTCTATTGCGTTACCCTTCTTCTATTTCGCCTACTTTGTCCGTTCTTCGAAAGCGCTGCAAACAGCCATCTATCCACTGATTTCGCGTACGGATGTCCATTAATCTGACAAAGCGAAATGAACCAGCAAACCAGCGTGCGTCTTTTCCCTGGCTACGCTTCGTCAGCTCGTTGCATTCGCTCACAGCCTTCCAGTCGTTCACCTTGCCAGCAAATAGGCCCTTGTGTATATTTACTAATGCGGCCACTTTCATGCGCGCACACACGCACGGACACAGCTTCAAAGACACAGGTCTCGCGCCACGTCTCTGTACGGTCTGGGTACGCCCATTTCTGTGTACGGTAATATCTCTATGTACTTTGTACAAAAGCCCCGCTAAAGGGAACCAGAGCAAAGGAAAAAAACATCAGGGGCCTACCACTTGCCAATCCTAAGCGTGATGGAACGTACACCATCATTGCCTGCCTTATCTGCATTGCGTTCCTGTCGAATAGAGAGAGCTATTGTCGGCTATCTTCCTACGAAAGTAGTATGTTTGCAATAGATTTTATACGTTTCGCTCACGAAAACTAGTCCAACTGATTGTGTCATACAATAGTTATCGCGGAGCAAGAAAAACATCAATACTAATTATTATTTCACATAAAATTATTATACATTCGTTAATAATTATGGTTTTTTTGGTGACTTTGAAGCTATTATTACGTTGACCGTTTGTCTTGCATTGTTTAGTTTTTAGATTAATGATGAGATATCCCTTGTAGCGGTATATAATTGAAATGCTGAGTTCAGAACTCTGCGCTAGGCGCGCCAAGTGTGAACAACGAAAATAGATACTCGTTTTTATAGCGAGCATTGGAGGCTACATACGAGCCCGCAAAATCGTTCTCACAATGCACAAGCCAGATCGATATTTAGCCTGTGGGCAATTCGAAGCAGTCCAAACGTTGCCAAACCACTGCTATACTCGAACAGTAACAGGTTTTTTCCACACCAGTCCTAGGTCATTTAGCTTTGGGCCGCCGCAGCGGAGACCTGACCTGCTCACACAACTGGGCTACCGGTAAATCTTGACCGAGAGAAATACAGAGAGAAATCAGGAAAGAATTCGTATTCGAATGCAGCGTAGCTTATTTCGTTTTCTTACCAGCTGCCGCCACCATCGCTGCCCTGTTCGATTCAGCAAGCCGAGAGTGATGGCTTCATTTTGCCAGTTTGCCGGTAAGGAATAGAGAAGCTGATTATTCAAAACACGACAGGAGGTGCTGATGCTCACGGGGTCGAGAAGGTTGTACGTCGTTGTTGCAGACTGTTTTCGCTTGTGCCAAATACATTACAAATGTTAACGGAACATTCCTGCCCGCTTAACAACAGTTCCTTTGCAACAATAGTGGAGATATTGAGACTTCTATTCACAACAAACCTTCTCAAAATGCTTATTAGCATTATATTTAAAGCGTTTATTTGTACATAACACACTCGCTATACCCGTAAGGTCTAGAAGATGAATAGTCTTATAATGGTAAAGAAGAAGTACGGTTATTGCACACATAGTGTATCCATGTATCTGGCTGCTACTGCATCGGACTTCATTGAAACGCGTCCACCAAAGTTGCTCCAAGGTTTCTGGATTCATGGGCTCACTTTGTACGGCCAAAACGAACCAAATTTTTCCCGCTAATTCGGAGACGTAACAGAACAGCGATAAATCAATAGAAGAAACCAAATCCGCTGTCTTCGTCACAAATCTAAAAAGCATTGTGTTTTTACCGGATTTGATTTCTCTATTTCGGCACATATACAGCTGGCAATTGTCTAAAATCTAGTTTGCACTTTTCAACATACTGATTATTTTCGTCACGCAGTAAAAAAATCCGCTCCTACTGCTTAAACTACTTAAATTCAATACCTGGCATTCGATTAAATCAAGGCCCCTAGTAAATTATTGCTATATTAATGTAATTTAATACTCCGTTTGGTTAAGGGCTTATTCGAAATCGTCGGCCATTGTCATTAGTCCATTGACTGTACTCACTGTGTCGTAACGGTACTTTTTGAGTAGCTTCTTGAACGGTAGCTTTATACAATGCTATTCATCATACCAAAGCCTCATGGCCGTGGCACTTGCTTGCCTGAGAAGCCACTGGCACCGAGAGCTCCCCTCCTTCCCGCATACGCATAGATATTCTTGCCCGTTCAGGAAGACGTCTCTCATTTCAGACTTCCTGTTTAGGTACGTCCTTGCCAAGCTCTGCGTATAATCTTCATGTTGGGTTACCTTATGCTGGTATTCATTGTCTATTCGTGCACAGTCGAAAAATAGAAAGGCATTACTAACTGTTAGCCAACGTTCGATTCGAACTCGACGGGTTCCGGCACCAAAAGAAACACCAAAAATAACATTTGATGAGTGAAGTAGAATGCCACGACCGACTATCGCCATTGTCCCTGTCGCAGGCGTTAGCATAGTTGAACAGAGGCGAGTAGGTATTGCTCCCTTTCTGCGACTATTTTGCTTGATACCATTTACCCTGTCCGCGACTGCAGTTCAATTCTGCTTGCCAAAATTAATCGGGAATTGTTCGCGCACGCGAGAGATAACTACCGGAGACGAAGTTCTCCGACAAGAAAATCTCATCGGGAAATGGGCGTTGCCATTGGCAGCAGCTGGTGGCAGGAACGCAGTCCGTGGGATTAACTGATCAGTTTCTGTCAACATCGTTCAATCACGTTCGCGACAATAACAACCCGAGTTGAGTCATTATAGAAAAACCATGGCCATCAAATAGTACTACTACCAGTGTCACTTGAAGAAAACAAAGGCCTTACTGATATCTCAACTTGGCCACATTTTCAAAGTCAGGATTCATCTTGCTTGGTAGGTACTGCAAGCACGAAGATGGAGCTTTAAACCAGGAAGGCGGTGCAAAAAATGCAGCCAGTGATCGTACCTGTAAAAGAGCACTCACTCTTTACCTCAACAACAACTCGAGCGCTTTTGTGCTGAAAGATGTCGAAAGTGTCTCGTAACGACAAACAGCTACGTGACGCGCCACGCGCACGCCAGAGGACTTTGCCTCGATAATGGTATGATCCCGGGTATATTATTTATCAATATAGAATATTTAAGATCTAGTGCTGATTGAATCAATTCATCAGCAAGTATTAACAGTCAGAGCGGATTCAGTCAAGAACAGCTTACAATCAATCAGATTTATTCGTTGAAGACTTGGAGTACTCATACAATAATGTCCTGTGTAGTTATAGCAGAAATATAAGAAGGCGTGACGATTATGAAGATACTGTTTGCGCCTATCGGTGGCCATTCATTGACCTAACTAGCAAGGTCGTCTGGGGAGTGTCAAGCATTCGTTATCGACTTCTAAGAGGCCGCGCGTACCAATCGGGTAAGCTATGATTATTTAATAGAATGTCATCATGCTTCATTACTGTTTTTTCCTAAATGTTACACGATTGAATGTAACGTCTGATTACAATAGAATTTACCATTTTCATATCGTAATCGTTTGGGTGTTTAGTAAACAACGTTTATTTTCGGTTTGATCGACCGAAACTGAGCACATTTTTCGTTATAAGCGAAACAAATGATTGAATAGGTATCCGTTCCACAACAACAATATCACAGGTAATAGATGTAATCAGGAATGACCAATTACAGATGGAAATTCAGTATAGCGGCGTTTGCATTTCTCCTTATCGGTGTTTTAGCAGCGATTTGTCTCTTTACTTATGCAACATGTATGTACTCTATGTTAGCGATACATATAGGGTATTTTGCTTCTGTCAAATAGGTACATTCAGAACTGGAGTGTGCTTACCTAACTTACGCAAGATGCATCCATCGTGCACACCTGGTCACCCAACTTTGACTCATAAAAATGTTTCGATCCAAGAACTACAAATAACGGTTGAAAGCGTGCCAAGTCAAACGCTACAGCGGCCTTGGAAATGACTGGCGATAACAATTAAAAATTTCTCGACAAATAGGTCAAAACAGATGGGCCTATTTTCGTAGCGTTGCTGTCTTAGTACAGTACCTATGAGAAGAGTTGTATTTCTAGCCAAATACTTGGTAGAAATTGATTTAAACAAATGTTTCCAGCATTCGCGTCCGATACAGCCGTTGCGCACTGCTTCAGACAGCTGACGTTTTCCAGAACGGAACCAAGTGTGCCTAATCGCTGTTTCGAACCTTAACCACCTCCATGCGTTTTTAAGGCTTTATCACGATAGCACCACAGGGTCATAAATAGTAGGGTCTGGGCAACACAAGCGTGCTAGTCGAATTCATCCCATGGCTAGTTCAACTTGAAGTTGATAACATCCGTAAGGTTTTAGATCCGTAGCTTTTTCGACATACGTCAGTTAATATACACTGTAAATGTAGTGATTTGCGTATACTGTAACTACAACTCACCTAGGTTATATAATGTATTTGATTCGTTTTTTTTTCTGCAGCTGAATTGAAGCATCGATTATCGATGTAGACGTTTCTGTACATATCTATATCGATTTTATGTATAGTGTTGAACGGGTCTTGTTGACTTTACTGCCTCTATGTAACGATATTGAATGACTAGTCACTGAAGGGTCAACTAAGAGGTTTAACTGTTGTTGCAGTTTGGATCGTATCAGGTTAGTGTCACAACTTCGGAAAAAAATTACCCAATGTTTAGTTATTACTCGTAATTCTCTTGTACTTCTTCTACACACTGAAACATAATGGGTTATAAAACGCGGCTTTCCCTCTTTGAAACAGAACAAGCCAATACTGTTTAAAAATAACGTCGGTATTTGTCTCAATTGAGAATGAACACGGTCATCGTTAAGAATAAATTAGGATCTCACGAGTACATTCATGTAAATGATAGTTTAGTTTTTACATCGTGCTCTTGTAATTCTTCAAGCCCTTCACACTGCTACTGTCCCGAACTAATAGGATCTGAAGGCAGAAAAAGAAAGATTAGGCTATATACAAACACGAACGCGGCAGAAATATATACAACGAGGCCATCAATGCTTTTGGCGTGCTACGTAGGGCAATCACATGGGCAGCAAGAAAGCTCTCAAGAAACTGGTTTTAACTTGAAGTAGACAGAAGCGCGTACGGTGGTAGAATGAAATAGGCTAAAAAATGGTCATAAGACCTGACGAGTAGAACACATGGCAACGGCATAGGGCTAGGCAGATTTAGTTTCTATATATAAACAGTAAAGCCTCTTATATTATAATAATATAT